CAATCTGAGGAGAAATACCAGTATGACAACTAAAGGTACAGAAACACTGAAAAGCCTAATACAGTGGTACCTCGGAAGTCCAACGGAATCCATTCCAGAAGTCCATTTGACTTCCAAAACGTTCAGAAACCAAGGTGCGGCTTCCAATTGGTGGAACACTCACTTCCGGGTTTGCAGCGTTCAGAAGCCAAAACGTTCGACTCGCAAGGCATTTGTTATCCAAGGTATGACTGTAGTAACTGGAAGGGCTGACTATCACAAGTAACATTATGTTCCAATATTACTTATAGCGAATAAAAACATATTACCTTTGCTTACATGCTTGACAGTAAGGATGGAGAATTTATGGCGCTCCAGATCTCATTGGACAACCAACTCCCATCAGCTACAGTCAGTATGGCTAATAGAATAGGGATGAGGGGAGGGCCATAGGTTCCCAATCCCTGCTGAACCGCAACTCAGGGGTGGGCGTTTCCAGTTGTCTCCCCACTATGATCACTCTTCCAGAGTATCTCTACCACGTGAGCTAGAATGGGACTTGTTTTAGAATGTTTATTATTGTTAGCTACCTTTGCTAGATGTCTTTTTTTACACTAACATCACAATACAATCAATCAAGTTTACTGTAACAAAAAAGGCAATATTTGAGACAGATTTTGAGCCAAGAAAGGGTTCATGAAAGATTCCAGAACTTGACTTGAACGCAACCAAGCAAATATATCACTCAAAGATACATAATTAAGTATTCACCAACTAAAATGGATCATGTGGAACAAGGAGCCATGGAATGCTGGAGCCATCTGAACCCACCATGTGTTTCGAGTAATCGAGGATGCCTTTCCTCCATGAAACACAAAGATACACATTCATTCAGAAGTCTCAAATCATCAAATGCACTAGTTCCGGCCCAACAACTTACTCAACACGGCTTTGTCCCACTCTGCAGCAATTATGGCTCATATAACACTATATACCCAAACTTGAAAAATCAAGGGGGCTTTGAGTGGAAATTCTCACGATCATGGTCACGATGCATGTTCCACAATAAGATGACAGGCCACAGTTCGGTGACATAAACATGCCTTGTGGGCAAAAGATCCAGATGGTGGTGGACTATAACTCCCATCTATTCTTGACCATTGGCCATGCTGATGAGGACTGATGGGAGTTGGAGTTCACTAACATCTGGAGGTCACAGATTCCCAACCTCCAGGATAGACCATAATGGGCTAGATTGGTGGTTCCCAATTGGCTAACTACTGCAGACCCCCTACTTTTGAAAATTTTGATATCTCTGTGATAGTATTTGTTAGGTGAATGGTGCCATGGATCCCCTGGGTGGTTTAAGTGGACCCCCTGGGGTCCACAGACCACCAATTGAGAACCACTGGGCTAGATGAATCCTGGGTCTAACTCCATATGTTTCATGTGCTCATGAGAAGAATAGTCTCTACCCTACCACCTTCAATTCCTGCAGGAAAAGAAAGATAAGAGGGGGAAAGCACTTCTGCCACAACAAACCCCTAAGACAGCAATCTTAAACGTATCAGACACTAAAGCCTACTTGAATCAAAGTACATTGGTTCTGAGGAAACATGATTAGGAGAGGTGTGCAAGAAATACAGTGGTACCTTGGGTTACGTTACCTTCAGGTAACGTAATTTTGAGTTACGAACGCAGCTAAACCCGGTTTCGCCACACACGCATAAGCACTCTATCACACCGCGCGTGTGCGCAGAAGCAACTCCTCCAGATACAGACTTTTCGGGGTAAGTACGGACCCCCGGGACAAATTAAGTTCGTATCCAGAGGGTCCACTGTAAATACAAAGAAGAGTGCAATTGTGGTGAGGCTCCTCCCTAAACAGACTGGGGAGAGTAGTGTCATGCTAATACTTACACATGCAGAGTTGTTTTTTTATAAACTAAGCCCCTTGCCCAACCCGAAAAAGAATTTTAAACCTACTCCTACACACACAGCCCAAAAAGCTGACATACCTGTGCAGGACATGGAATTGGTGGAGGACAAAACTGTTGTTCCTTTCAGCAATTACAGATACAAGTCATTCCAGATAATCTACCCTTCCCTATGCTCTTCCACATTTTGGCCCCCAACACCTGAAATATTTGGGGAGGGGAAATGCAGGGCTCTTTGGGTGTCCCAGATTCCTCCTGCCCATGTATACCAACCTCATTCACCCATCCCAGTTAACATGGATGAAAGGAGTAGAGGGTGTTTCTTGTAGGGTGGCTGACCACCACTGCGTCTTCAACCTCTCCGCCCTCTCCCACACAGAGATGATCAGTCAATGTGTGCCCAGCCACATTATAGGCTTTGTGGCAGAGGAGCATGGCTCAAGTCACTCTGAGAGCCACTTCTACATTGCTAATATAGCAAGAAATCTGCATCATTGCTTCAGCTACATACACACACTATTTGTGACACACTACAACCCATTCTCTATTCACCTCTTCTCTCTCTCCACCTCCGTTGCAGGGCTATCTACAACCCATGCTGCTCAGATTCCTCCTCCTCTGTGCACCATGTCTAGCATGCACTCACTCTCTTCTCTCGGCATCCTAATTCATAACCTTCTGTTTCCTCCTTCTTCTGCATATCAGTTATCTCCTCACACTCCCACAGCTCTCTTTGCACCCCATCTGTTATTCCCCCACCCCTTTCTCTTTTCAAGGGCTGGCCCACAGATAAGCCTGGCTGGGAGGGGGAGGAGGGAAACAAGTGCCTGGAATTGTACCACGAGGGCAGGGAGTGGGAACCTGTAGCCCTCCAGATGTTGTTGGACACCAACTCCCATCAGCCTCTGCCAGCATGGTCAACAAAATAAAATAAAATAAATTCCTTCCAGTAGCACCTTAGAGACCAACTAAATTAGTTATTGGTATGAACTTTCGTGTGCATGCACACTTCGAAAGCTCATACCAATAACTACCGTAACTTAGTTGGTCTCTAAGGTGCTACTGGAAGGAATTTATTTATTTATTTTGTTTTGTTTCGACTATGGCAGACCAACATGGCTACCTACCTGTAACTAGAAGCATGGTCAACGGTCAGGGATGACAGGAGTTGTAGTACAGCAACATGTGGGGGCCTATAGCTCCCCATCCCTGCACTTAAGAGGAGACAAATAAGAATGGTCTGCCCTCCACCTATGAACTCAATGATGTAGGTATGATTATAGGATACTTCTGCAAGAACAAGTTCAAAAGCAATGATAGGCTATCCAATCCATATGAACTGCAGGGGAAAGGGCAGCTATCTTTTATCTGGGAAGCAGGCTAGCCTTGCTGACCCAGAACTGCTGTGGAACTAGGTAGCTGTAAGCCTCAAGAGGAACTCCACCATCACCACCATAGGTTTGTTCTTTTTAAAGAATAAGGAGTTATATGCACTGAAGAAAAAGGAGTACAATGTTCTTAGATTAATTTAAATAGTATGACAATGGAAGACAGTAGCATCTCTTGTGTTTATTGTTCCGAGTGGTACTTTGAAGAAGCACTTATTCTCTTACAGAGTTGAAACAAAAATCATTTCAAAACTGGCATGGCATGGCAGGGGAAGCCATCTTTCTCATCCATAAAGATGGAAAAAAAGGTCTATATAAGAGATGCTATTGCAATTTCTGTATATTGTACTGTACAGTTGTGACACAGTGTTCACTACTATAGTTGATGGGGGGAGTGGAGACAGTCAAGAGATCTTATTTTGGAAACATTATGGCTCAAGGATGATAGACAAAAAAAGGAAGCCAAAACTGACAACTATAAAAAGCTACATATATACACAGTCACACCAGCTGAGAGATCAAACATCTACCTTCCTGAGAGAGGTATAGTTCTCCCAATTGCATAGCAAGTGAAGCAGATCATCTGTAAAGGCTCCAAAACAGTGGAAGTAGTTTCTGTGATAGAAACACCAGAGGCCCAATAGGAGACACAATCATCCCTATGTTCCCCTCACCAAACTAAACTTTTTTTGCAAATTGTTTTATTGCAACATCTTCATTTGGGCACTATTGATAACCACACAACTGAATTGATCAAGTTTTGAGATGAACGCTCTGAGAATTGACCCCTGTGCTGTGCCCACTGAAGGCATCAGGAAGTTTCATTTCATTTTATATGTTTATAAAACTGGGAATCATCGATTGATGGTAACACCACATTTATTAATCCACATACCTAGCACACACAGATAAAGGCTGCAACAATAGGACAAAGATACCTACACATTTTGGAGAGAGAAACTGAAACAACGACAAACAAAAATCTTCAAAGAGCCTGTTAGGAAAAGATACCCAGGACTAAGGTGGAAACAGAAATGCATCCTTTTATATGGCAGCACAGGCTTGCCTTAATCTCACATTTAAGCACAATAGGGAGAGGTGGGGATAAAACAAAAGCTGCATTTCTCTGGTCTTTCTTTCTCTCAATGTAGATTACAAACACATGGAGAAATTCAGAGGCTCCTCCATAGGTCACCCAATCCACCCTTCCCAACCTATATAAATGTACCCGCCCTGCACTAATCCTTACGAATTTGCTTTGTTCGAATATAAATCTCAAAGAGATGGGAATAGGGCAGGGGGAGATATCCCTCTGGCAGGTCACTTTCTTACCAGAGTTCCCACCCACCCACAACTATCATGCTCGTCCATTGTACCGGCGCTGGAGATCTTTCCCCTATCCTACATGCGGAGAAGACTGAAAGCGCGACCTCTGAAAAATAAAGAAAGGAGCCAAGATGCGAAGCCCAAGCAATTTTGTCCCGCCCACCCTGGCATAGTCCTTCACCTACAGAGAATCCCTCTCGCTCATCATCCCCGCTCGCCATCCAGCCAGCTCTGCAGCTCCAGACAATGCTCTCCCTTCGCGCTCCCCACCCGCACACCGCCCTCGCCCTCGCTCCCCTCCCCCTCCAAGCCCCCTGCCCATGCAGATCCCGGGCAACATGACAGTGCAAGGGCGGGCGGGTGTGAATACCTGGCGGCGGAGGCTGTGGCGCCGGCACTGGAGGCGGGCGCAAAGATATTTGGACTCCTGCACGTCCTAAAAGAGGCATTCAGACGAATGGGAGCAGCAGAAGCCTCTAATCCCCGCTGCTGCTCCTGCAATGCATGGCTGATGCTCTTCTCCGCCCCTGTGTTGCCGATAAAGCTGCAGCTTGGGCTTGGTAAGAATGGAACCTCGGCGCGCAGGCGCACTCGCCGCTCGCTAGGAAAGACTGGAGTGGGGGGGCGGTGCTGCACATGCGCCGTAGACCAAAGCACAGGGGCATGCGGTGAGCATGCGCCTCATGGTCCTGGCTCTTCTAGGGACCATCACGCATGTGCTGCCCGAGTCTCTTCCCTGGCCGACGCTCCCGCCGACAGTCATAGAGGTCCGTCAAAGGCTAGATAGAACCAGGGGGGGCATCTCTATGGTGACGTGAATCCGATACTGAAAGGCGCGGGGCGGAGGGATGCAAAGTGTGTAGCTGAGGCGATGAGCTCACCGCGCGTTGTACGCATGCGTCGGCCATCCGTATTCTAGTAATGACGTATGTGCACAAAACGGCTGCTGCATTCCTTGATTAATATTAATAAGAGGGCGAGAGGGGGCGGAGTTACGGAGTGGGGATGAAGGCTGAGAGCGCCGGTCTCGCCTTCCGGGGTCAAAGGTCATAAGAAGGCAATGCAGTATTATTTCAAAATAATTAGGAAAAGGGGTGGGGGTGGGATTGCGTCCTAAAGACACACACTGTACAGGGAAGCTTCTAAGGAAGTAATATTTCCCTCCCCGTTATTATTCCTGATTACCTGTTGAATTTCTGCCTGTTGTCCTAGTGTTAAACGCACAGGAGAAAAGAAGGTAGCCCTATTGCAGGAATAGTGAGGGAGGCTGCTCCTCCAGACAAAACTGCATGCAAAGACATTTCAAGTGGTATTGCCTTTAAAAGATTTCTATTTGTGTGTGTTTGTTTGTGTGTATTTGGGCAGCGGGAGTAAGAATCTTACGGCACCTTAAAGATTAACTGCAAAATGTGTATACATGTCTACTCAGAAGCTTCACTGTAAAAAATATGCATTGTTTGTATTTGGTTTGACGTTACCATTCTGCAAAAGTGAAGAACAGTTATGGATTGAAGTTTAAATTTATATTTCAATAAGCAGTTAACCATTTAAATGATATAATAAGGCAGCTGTGATTATACTTGGTTGCAGTGTGTTCCTTGATGGTAGCCCTTGTCCATTTGCCAGGTTAAGAGGTACCGCTGCCGATTGGAACTTACTAAGAGGATTGCTCACACAGAGGCATCCTAAAATGCTTCCATTTTGCTCTTTGTCTGCCTGCCTCTCTGCTGACTCTGCTCCAAGCCATCAAAAAGAACCATCAAGAGGAAATCACTGGAATGGCCAAGTCCTTGACCTAACAAAAGACAGAGAGAGAAGCCATCAGCAAGACTACGTGCCCCATCCTGCACCCTGCACTCTGGGTAGTTAACAATGGAGGATGCCAGAGAGGAGGAGGGAATTTCCAGGTCTGCAGTGGGGAATGATGTAACCAAACAGAGAAAAGTGTCAATTTTGCAAACGGGGGGTGGGGGTGCATGTGAATGCTCTGTACTCTAGGCTCAGGTTGTATGTATGTGTAAATAAACCATATATCATAAAGATGTCATAGTCTCTGCTGTGCCTCATTGTCCAAAAAGAAACACAGACCCTGCTAAGTGTACCTGATACCCCTGGAATCTTGCACTGCTCAGAAATTGGGGTGTCGTGTAACAATATCCTCTGCCCAGATCTCTGTAAGTGAGGACTGCATGAATGGGTGATTAACTTAGAAGGGCCATAACCTTGTGCCTATTGTGTAATTTGCCACCACAGAAAAAGTAACATTTAAACAACAGTCCTAATCAGGACTTACTTCTGAGGAGGCATGCATAGGTTTGCAGTGTTAGTTTGTGCAACTTCTGTACGTTGGAGATACGTGAGGAAAAGGCCAAAAAGATTCCTTGTAGAAATGCAAGTACTGTCTCCCTTACTCTAAAAAAAAACTAGAATGACAACAGTATGCTGAATTTTACACTTTTCTATCATGGGACTCCTGTTGCTGTGAAGTACGCTTTTTTCCTTAAAAGATTTTCACACATCCCTAGCTTTTTTCAGCAGCTCACTACAAAGCACAGTGTATTGATTATTCACCAACTCCCAAGCTCAAACAGCATGAAGAAAGCATGGATTCAAATAAATCTTCATATGCCATATCGTTCATAGTCCACATGTCACTATAGTGTGAATGGTGCACTGAGCATCCCCTTTACACACATCCCAATAACCATAGACAGTGTGGTTGAATGATTTCTGAAATTCATTTGTGTCTATAAAAAAGTATGGTATTATCAAGTGCCCCTTGGAAGAGACAATTTCAGCTGCTGTGTCACACTGTCAGATTGTGAAATAACTGCTGTCACTCAAAAAGAAGAAGAGACGTTGGAATCATGGTGGTTAATGCCCTAAAAATATCAGTACAGAAGACTGCAGCTATCTAAAAAGCAACAGTGCACTACCATTTTACTTATCAGATATAAATAACACAGAATATAAACATCCTCCATTAACTGTTAATGGAAATGGTCAAAGTGGGGGCAGGCATGGTTGGATATTCCCATTTCAACTCCATTCATGCCTATGGTGGGATGGGAAAGGCCTGATTCCAATATCCAGTGTGAACAGAGACGACTTCTGAATAAATACATCTCACTTCCTCTTTCAGGTATACTTAAACCTCACTGTGCTGAAGAGCATAAAGACTGCAGAAAGGGCAGAAGGACTGTGCAGAAAGACAGCAGTGATGAAAGGGGAATACCAACAAGCTCCCCCTGACCCCGTAACTGCTCTCTGCAGTTTGCTATAAACTAATCCCAATGCAAGGACTATGTATGCATATCTTTGACCGACCTTGGGAGGAATAACTTACACATACAAGTCATAATGTAAAAGGCTACTTTGCATATATTTCCAATACACACAAATGGCGCGTATCCTTTCGCACCTCATTTCCTTTCCTTTCACTCCCCCGCTCTTCCTCTTCCTTTATTAACATGTTTCTCACCAGTAGTACACAGCAAGCCATCATAATCTCTTCAATTCCTATTCCTACACTTTAAAAGCCCACTTACCATATTAATTCCACCTAACAGCAAGCCTACTGTAATATGATGGGAGTTTTAAGGTTGTGAATGAAACAAGCTCACATTAAGGGAGATTCGCTAGTTCTGTATGAAAGGCTGTGCAAAATCAATGAAGGTTGCCATCCTAGGAATACTTAACTTGGGAGTAAGTCTCACTGAAAACAATGGAATTCCACAGGGGACCAGCAAGAAATGTTATAATATTGCTGACCTGCTCATTTGCAACAAATTGGGGTATTACCTCTGGTGGGGGTCACATCATACTCCTTCTGGGGTAGTTTGTCCACCTTTGGTCCCTATCCTGCACTCAGCTCTCATCTGTGGCTCCTAAAAGTTGCTGGCATGTGACAGCAGCCGCATCCCAGGAATGGCTTTGACTGGCCAGCTAAACCAGGTGAGAGTAGCCTATGGGTCTCAAACTCTTGGTGAGTTAGGGACTTCCCCTGTTTGCAAAGCCAGGCTCTGAAGGATTGAGCGGATGAGACCAACATTGGGTCCAAGGGTCAAGAAGACAGTTTCTGCATGTGCTGTAGATGGAAGTGGGGGGCAGATGGAGATTGTCAACCCTGGGAAGGAAAACTCTGACCCTAAGCCTCTGCTGCCTTGTGGGATACCTTCAGGAGAAGAAAAGGCTAAGGAGTAAACCCTACACAAATCCCGAGTGGAGTTCCTAAGATGGTTGGATGGCATCTTGTATGCTTCCTTCCAGCAACTCCTGCAGTCAAGCTGGTGCCAAACATATTGCTCTGCTTTTCTTTGGACCATCAGTGAGGCCAAAAGTGGGGTCTGGTTGTCTGGGCAGCCTAGGACCTCCATACACACTGCCCAAGCTTGCACCCCAAGAAAGTCACTTTGGTGCTGCTAACAGAGTGGTTTGACTTCACCCCTGAAGGTGCAGTCCATTGTCTCTAGAGACAGACAGATGCAAACAACATTATGTATAGTCCAATCTGATGCATTTTAACTTGGAAGTCATAGTGAATTCAATGGAACCATACTACCTAAAGGACCATCTTCTCTAATAAGATGGGCAGATGAAGGGGGACTTGTTTATCTACACAGGCAAGTCCCTTTTCATTTAAACAGGACTAATGAGGTGATTTGTTCTTCTCGGCTGCTGGCTGCCATTTTGTTTCCATTTTTATCTGCTCTTACCCTATTTCTATATGGTTTTATCATGTTGTTGCTTGTTACGTTATGTGGATTGGTTAGTTTCTATTGTGGATTGTATTGTTCTTTCCCACACTGGGAATTTTAAAATGGAACATGTTGATGTAAATGTAACAAACAAAAATAAGCAAGTCCCATTGAACTTAATGAGATTTCTGGGTAGAGAGGCATAGACTAGTGATGGAGGCCAATAGGAAGACAATAACTGACCATTTTGAGGGGGAAAGTGCTATAGTTTTACAGAATAAAAGCTGGAAAGATGTAACTGAAGTTGCAAAAATGTCCTTTATATGTCAGTATCATCTAAACTCCTAGTTGTAGTATAATGCACACATTAAGGTTTCATTCCACAGAACTGTGTATCTAGTTATCTGAATCCATGAGGAGTTTTCCTGAGGGGAATTTCAAGAGCAGTTTCTGATATGGCATAAGACCAGCCGCTCTACCTCTAATGTCAGAGGAGGGAAGAGTGCTGTTGCACCCAGGTCCCGCTTGCAGGTTTCCCCACAGGCATCTGGTTGGCCACTGTGAGAACAGAATCCTGGACTAGATGGTCCACTGGCCTGAACCAGGTGGCTTTTAAGTTCTTATTCTTAGCCTCCTAATATTGGCAGCCTCTGTACCTAAGTTCCTAGCTGACCTACTTCTTTTAAAAGAAAGTTAAAAATCAGAAGAGCAGTTTGAAAAAACAGGAATGAAAAGCAAATAGATATGCAAAATGGTAAATAAATTGTATATATAAACAAGAGAGATTACCGTTAAGCCGTTTTTAGTCTAGCATTTTTATTGTGTTTATAAAAAAACCATCTGGTTAATTAAAACCCTTATTACTGTTTTCATCTCTCATTAACTTGCAACAGGGGAAAACCCTTACTATCC